AGACACCATCTTCCAACTGGCTGTGAATGCTGATTAAGTGATTAGTGCACGAGTATTACGTCACATCAGCACTCACGCTGATTGGCACACATGACTATGACAACACATCAACACTGACTCTGATTGACCAAATATTGTACTCGAAAACTATAAATTTCCGACGGAAACGTTATAGAATAAATTAATTTTATTTATTTTTCTCTATCTCCCCATATAGACTCAATATTCAGTTGCCTGGTGTCATTTTCTAAATATTGACCAAACAATGTTTTGACAAATTTTGTGAGGAATATGAAGACAAAAGTATAAGAATTCCTAACAATGATGAGACTGTTAAAGTGATGAATTTTAGTCAGTCATACTTTAATTTATGTATCGGTTAAAGAATCTCCCTTTGAAATGAGAAATAAAATTATAATAAACATCATAATATGTAAATATGGTAAAGTGGAAGGAGTGAGGCTGAACAAGTTTAGGCAAACCCAGTTATTCATATCCTCGGTATTCGTAACCCCGTTTATCCGCAAACAATTTATTGTTACCCATTTCCACTATTTTTTTTTTTTTTTTGTACGGGAATTAGCCCACCCGGGCACAGGTCAAACAACCCACAACGGGGCCTTGGGGGGACGAAAAAAGAACAGAAAGAAATTAAAAATAGAGAGCAAAAAGGTTATACTGTATTGTGTGAATCTACACCACGAAGATGCCTGAGAACCAGCTTTTTAAAGCGAGACAGGTTGTATAAGTATGGAAACACAGAAGAAGGCAGAGTACTATAATGGGTTATTCTCGTGTGACCGACATCCGCAGAGAAACAGTGGGCACCGCAGCAAGACGTGTGTTACGAGCCCACGGCCTTACCGGCGGTACACAGGATGCCAAATCCACCGAACATTGCCCGTTAAAGTACCTGTAAAAGAGAGAGAGTGAAGCAACATTGCAGCGAAGAGAAAGGGAAGAAAGATTGTCGACTACAGGAGGAGAGTTAATAAGACGAAATGCCTTTCATTCCACCCTATCTAATAGTTGGACAGAAGAGCCACCCCAGATATGACAGCAGTACTCCAAGTTAGGACGAATGAATCCCTTACATACTTGGAGCAACTGCTCAGGTGTGAAGTAGCTACGGCATCTGTACAGCATTCCCAACGTTCGGGAGGCAGCTTTAGCTATACTAAGGATGTGTGATTTCCAGGACATATTGGAGGAAATGGCAAGGCCTAACATATTTATTTCAGAATTTGGCAGGATGATAGCGTCCTGAAATGTAATTGGTGGGAGATCGTCTAATTTTCAAAGTGTAATTGGTAAATATTGAGTTTTATTACTATTGAACTTAACCAAGTTTGCACCTCCCCATTCAGAGATGCTGCACAGATCCGCATTGATAGAAGTAATGATATCAGTTCTAGAAACAGATCTAGTTTGAGAGTTAGGAGGAAAGGGAAAATGTGAAGAAGAGTGAATAGTAGAATCATCAGCGTAAGAATGGATAGAATTAGTTATAGTGTGACGTAAATCATTGATAAAAAGAAGGAAGAGAGTAGGTGAAAGAACAGAACCCTGTGGGACACCACTACTGGTAGAGAAAGAGCGAGAGATCGTACCCTCGACAACAACTGCCATGGATCGGTTCTCAAGGAAGCTAGAGATGAGAAAACAAAGTGGGGGAGAGAAACCAAAAGAGGGAGGTTTAGATAGCAAAGACTTGTGCCATACCCTATCAAATGCTTTGGAGATGTCGAGGGCCACGACAAAAGTTTCCCCATAATCCCTAAGAGAGGATAACCAAAGATGGGTGCAATAGGAGAGCTGATCACTAGTAGATCTCGCCTGGCAAAAGCCATACTGGTGATCCGACAAAAGAGAATGGCGTTCAAGGTGACCGAGAAAATGGGAGTTAAGTTAGTTTAAAAAATCTTAGAAAGGGATGAAGTTAGGGCAATGGGGTGATAGTTAAGAGGGATTAGAATGGTCACCCTTCTTCGGGATGGGCTGAACCAAGGCATGCTTCCAAGAAGAAGGAAAAGTTTGGGTTTTGTGGCAGAGGCAAAAGAGGCGAGCAAGCACAGGGGCCAGGGCTTCAGCACACTCCCTCAGAACATGAGGGAGTATTCCGTCCGGTCCATGCGTTTTACTCACATCCAACCTAGATAACACACCAGCAACCCTGCGAATGGAGATTATAGGAAAGTGCATAGGTTCAGTAGGAGGTGCAGGGGTAGGAAGGATAGAGTGGGAATCGTCTAAGGTGGAATTAGAGGAGAATAAGGTGCCAAAGAAGTTGGCTTTGTCAGGGGGAGAGTTGGCTATAGAGTTATCAGGTCGGAAGAGAGGAGGAAAAGAAGGAGTGCAGAAGTTGTTACAGATGTTTTTAGTTAAAGACCAAAAGGATTCGCAATGGTTGCCCCATTTATTTGCGAGAGACTTTGAAATATGAATGTACATTCTGTATTTCAGACACAAAAATATTATTTCTGTTATTCAGTTAAATATTCATATACTATAGTGAAAATTAATATGCATATACAGGCACAATTGGTATTATTGGTATCTAGAGGAGTTATGTTTCAAAATATTTATTCCTTCATTGGCTATAGGTCATTGTGACCTTGTGGGGTACGATATATTTCTCCTCCATCCTGTGTGAGTGATCACTCCGGGGGTCACCATTTGTGGGGTACGAGATGTTTGTGTTCACACTCAGGATGGGATGGAGAAAGGAAACTCACAATGTGCTCTCTATATACATGTTGTATTGGATGTACAATGCAGCTTGGTGCTGGGAAGTGACAGCGTGGTTACAAGCGTGATGTAAAGAGAACTGGTTGGTGAGGATGCTCAGAGGAGGACCAGCTTGTGGGTCGCCATGCTCGACGGCGGGAGCGAGGACCGCCAGGAAGGCGGAGGAGGAGGAGGAGGTGTTGCTGGCTGGTTGGTGTAGGTAGAAAGAGAGTGGTCACCATGAAGTCAGGTCTTAAATAGCAGAGGTAGGCGTGGCTTAGTAGTTGACCTCCGTCATGTAAGGCGGCGCTGGTTGACCTACTGTAGACCACGAGGCATACCCTGGATGTACTAGCAGGCGCATCTGACGACTCTGTACCTGCCGTGAGGGAAGCACCAATCAGCTCTTTCTACATCACGCTTGTAACCACGCTGCCACTTCCCAGCACCAAGCTGCATTGTACATCCAATACAACATGTATACAGAGAGCACATTGTGAGTTTCCTTCCTCCATCCCATCCTGAGTGTGAATCCAAACATCACATACCCCACAACCTTTATGCAAATAAAGGAATGTAGGTTTTAGAATTTTTAACAATTTCTAATGAGAAAAGATACAGTAGTTTAATTTCTTGCCAAAAACTATACAGAAAAATACCTCAATTAATCTTATCAAGATGCTGTTAAAGCTGGATATTCCTTCACCGAACACATCAATGTTTATTCACTGATGTATTATAATAACATTAGTAGTAATAATAATAATACAGTGGAGTCTGCATTTACACGGTCAATTGAACCCGTGGAGGCCCGCGTAAAACGAGAAACACATAAATGAAACAACAGAACATATGGGATGAATTGAAATAGAGACTGGGCTGACCCCCTAATTCCACTTTTTCCGACGCAATACGTACATTGTAGTAAAAATAACATCTTAATTTTATGATAGTATGCACACATAATTAATAATTAAGAGAAATGTCAATAATAGGTTTTTTAACACTTACGTTAGAAGAAAAGCTGGGTCGGCACACGTGGATGGCGGCTGGTTCCGAAGCAGAGGACAGATTAGTATCCCTCCGGTGAATCACTTTCACTGTCACTACTCGCAGAGGTTGGCGGGGCCTCTCAGACAAACCCCTCAAAGTCCATATCGTCACTAACACTGACTTGGGCTGGCTGTGGTTGTGGTGGGTTGCGGGCGAGGAAGTCCTCAATACTACGTTGACGACTAGCATTGATGTTGTCGAGATAGATCTGGATATACGGCTCCATAAATTTCGTCTGATGGTTTTTTGACGCTTCATACCGATGCTTGTCTGGGTCGTTGTTAAGGATGAGCTTAATTTTCTCCCCCAACTCGATGATTTCCTTCACACAATCATGGCTTGGTCCAGGTAATTCAATGTTTTTCTCTGGTGGTGGGGGTCCCGCGGAAGCCATTGTGAGGGGAATAGTGGGCACAAGAGAACTGTATATGCGGACTGAGAACAATGAGACAGGCCCTGCTAGGTCAGCGACTTCTTCCCTCCCGGGGCAGGGCACGTCATATTACATTAAACCAATCACAGCTAGCGGGGGAGGGAGATAAGGATGTGTGGCCCAATCACAGTCCGATACGTCATATGACGTCACCGATAACGCAACAGCAACATACTGCGCAACCTTACTCGCGCCGCTTGACGGGATGGCGGGCCGCTTGAATCCAAAATGGAGCAGCGCGTCTGGACCCTCCAGCGACTTGCAGCGTAAATGACCAAATTTACCGCGTAATTAAGGCATTTCGATTCTGGCAAGGCACCGTGTAAATGACCAAACGCGTTAACCAAAACGGCTTAAATCCAGACGCCACTGTAATAATAACAAAAAAGAACCATAAAGAAATAAAAAAAAAGATCAAAAGTGAGAAATATACGTAAGTATGTTGTGTTGTCAATAGTAAGAGAAACAATTGAGACCCTGCAATTGTGTGTAAATGAAGCAGAAAGTCAGATCAGCAACCTGGGACTTCACAATTTTTGTGATGCCATATGGCAGCAGAGTCTACCATTAGACAATACATTATGCTTCCAATATCTTCCCAGGCGGTAGTACCTCTGTGTTTGATAACTGCCTACTATCTACTACCAACAATACTGGGGGATTACCCAGAAGTCAATTAATCCATGCATCCACTTTTAGTTGGTTTTTGAAAAATGCGATGATCAGTGGACCTGAAAAACATTCTTATATATTTTAATAAATTTAAATGGAAATAAAGAATACATTATACACATTAAGATTTTTAATATCAGATTATATACACTCAGACTAGACAAATATTAAGACCATTAATAACTGTATTATTAAAATCAATTTTGAATGACGTTACATCACAGTACGGTAGTTCCATGAATACATACAGGAAAATGCATACTAAACATTGAACAAAGTAAGTACCAAGGTTGTGGAACAACAAATGGCGAGAGAATTGTCATACATATGATTAACAGAGGGTAAGCAAACTGTCTTGCAAAAATGACATGTCAAACAGTACAGTATTTGGCATGCAACCAATTGCCTATATATGTACTATAACAAATAAAGGAATGAGTTTAAACTATCCTCAACATCTACCGTATGCATTGCTAATTTTTGTTTCATATACAATAAACCTAAAACTTTGTATATAAAATAACTTCATACAAATATTGTTTTACATAACACTGAACAAAATATTGGGATATGTAACCATTCTGTTGTTCTTTTGTATGACATTTCAAACTTAACTTTATGAACAGTTGACAAAAGTTAAGATCACCGATTCTTTTCTTTGATAAGTTTCTAATAATAACTGTGGCAGTATTTCAGTGGATATCTCTCACTATTATAACATTTATTATTTTATTCTGTTTTTATGATGGTATTGTTCTTTTAAATTGCTTTAGACCCTATGTTTACATAGCCTAATTCCCCTCAACCATATGCTGCACCAAAACCTAAGTAATAATAAAAAAAAAACATAAGTAAATACAAAAAATAAAATGAAAATTCTGATATTATTTGTCTCTCATACAAGGACAATCATCGTTTTATCGGTTTTGCAGTTATGCACCTGTTGTGATTTATAACTTCAGATCTAGACAAGACCTTACATAAGGTAATCCCAATAACATTAGAATCAATACATTTGTACATATTCATACAATCAATGTTGCATGGAAAACATATTCACACATTTGCATCATAACTAAATGCTCTTTTAGTTTAATTATGTATAGTACTGTAGTCAATTTCTGACTGTGCTACAATGTGAAAATGAAAGGAATACCCTGAAAGTGTTCCTGATAGCATCATGTAATACAATTATAAATTACATAATGCAAATTCTGAAAAAAAGAAAAAGAAAAAATGTCAACTATTTCTTATTTTTTCAATGTCAAATGTCTGGTAATTTGTGCTTAACTGCAAGTGGTAAAGGTACATAAGTCTATAACTAAAATATGGTAAAGAATGCATAAAACAAAATTCATGATCACAAATCATATATCCTCAAATCTTTTAATATAAAGGAATGTTTTAATCATGGACCCTTTACAAACTTCTTCATTGATTCCAAACGTTACGATGGACTGGAGGATTCTGTGACAAGATCAGTCATCGGGAATCAGATAATTCTGTGAGATTTTTACCAAGATATCAATTTAAGAATGCAAACATAGCAGATTATTTTGTTTTTAAGTAACTAGTTGTAATTACACCAACAACTGCTTGAAACATCACAAGTAAAGAGAGATAAATGACAACTGCAATGTGTTACATATTGATTGGCTGTTAGCACAAGTGATCCTTCAAATTTCAATGATTTTCGAGTTATGGAAGTACCAGTATTGTTGTTAGTTATGTAAAGAGACTACATTTGGGAATGTTAAAATGTGAAACTAAACACTGAATATTTTGTACTTTTAATTCCCACTTGAAATGTGATAGTACAGGTGTAAATGGTAGGAATGTGCAAAAATATCTCATCAAAAGTTCACCCACACACGTACTTCACAAGAAACACCGAAGAATGTCCAAGTAGATGAATAAGTACATTTATAGCAAACAAAACCAGCACCTTTTGATATGTCTGGACTTTTTCCTAGCATTAAAATGTAATAATCAATTAAAATTGTGAGGTGCAATTCACAGAATAATAAATGGAAATTTACTATGATGGGCCTCAGTACTTCATGTTTTGTTAACGACATTATATACAAATAAGAAAAAATATATGACAGAGACTAACTTCCCGTCAGTCAAGAATTCTTAATCCTAATTGTAATTTAGAGAGCGAACTTAGGTAACCAGGGAATGACCTACCGTAAATGTGAATATTTCATAACACAATTAACAATCACTGATCTTGTCACACTATAAAGGGTAACAATTGGAATTCCAGAAGAAACAAAGGAACAGCTTCCACAATTATGTCTCACTTATTACAAGTAATACTTCCATCACCACAGCATAAACACTATTTCATGATGATATTACTGTGTGTCTGTGTCTGTGTGTGTAGCTGAGCACTACATCATTCACTTTTAACTTAACATTCTAGTAACTATACACTACAGTTATAAAGCTCTTCTTAATGTATTTCATTCACCATTGTCTTGTAGCTGTTAAATTCACAGCAAAGATGAGGTGACTGAAACAGTCAAACATTTCAATTCAGGCTGAAGATGATACATTTATTCATCCTTTGCAATGTACATCTATCAGTTTTACTGGTAGCTACTTCCCAATTAATTATGTCACATTTTAATAATTCCAATTTCACATCAATCTCTTTATCATAATGTGATTTGATGCAATGGACACTTACTATCACGTTGGAAACACTTATTTGGCAGTTTTGAATTGTTCCATAACCAGTTTACAAATTTGTCACTCAACCTTAAAAAATATATATTGTATTTCATATGTATACTTATACTCTTTCCATGTACCACTAGATAGTAAATTGGACACACCATCACTATTTGAGTGCTATCACTAAAATATTTGTGAATCTAAAGAAAATGACCACTACCCAAAATCCTGTGACTGTACTGCATCATTTATGACTTATCAAATCTTTTGCATTTCTTCATTGTTATTTTTTTTCTGTGGAAGGGAATGTCTGTATTATGTTAGTGTATATCAGCAACAGTCATGGCATTTATATAACATTTCAAAGTTATGGAATTACTGTCAGACTATAATACTGTACTGTTAACAGGTACCACAAGCCAAATTAATTTCCTTTAATAACATGGGTTATGATGATTTTCCAAAGATCACATGTTTGTGCCTTTGATTTCTTTACACTCGTTACACTGCATTGTTTGAATTTTCTTTGCTATGGCAGTTCCTCCAATGCTCTATCTATTTTTAAAGTATATTTTACATTTTATGTTTCACAGGATTAAATAACCTTAAGGAGTCTGAGTAAACAACACTGTGTGGCTGGCCATACACAACCTCTTATAAACTGCCACAGCGAAGGTAATTTCTTTTATACAGTATGATTTACTAAACATGTGATATACTAAATATGTGTGCTCTCTGTGTATGAAGCTCGTATAAAACACGCATCTAGTATACAATCATTGATTATTATCATAGAATTTTGCTAATCTTAACATGGAAGTTGTAGTAATAACCATATTTAAAAAAATTGTCTTATATACAAAATAAATTAGATTCACTCATCTTATTAATGAAACCTCAACTGGTTTTTATCTACCTATATCAAATATGGCATTTTTCCATGTACAAGACTGCCCTTTGACTTGCTTCCATGCTAGACTTGCAAATTCTATTTGGAGAAGTTGAAAATGTTATTTCATCATTCTTGTCTTACCCTATACAAAAAAGAAAAAAGATGGAGTATGATTTCAAAGAGATTATGTAAACTGTCTTCTAAATTATTTATCTATGTTGTCTTTGGTTTACAGCTACATTGTATGTGTAGCTTTCTTTAAAGATCTAATTACTGTACTTGCTTACTATGAGCTCAGTTTTTGTGAGGGGCAGGACTAACCAGGCAGATGAGTGGTAGTGTTCTCATACCACTGCTGGCTCAACCCTCACTTAATGACTGTACTGTATAACTAACATGCTCTCTCAGTAGGTAATGAATCCTAGATAATCAAGGGAATGCTGAAACATATGAAGCAATAACTATTCACATGAATGAGTGATTTGAAAAAAAATGAATGAATAAGACTATGTACTGAAGTGATGAGGATATAACAATAACAGATTCTACATGACTGTGTTAAAAATAAAAATATTATGTATACCTTTATAATACTGTACTGACATTTAAAACAAAAATTGCATAAATTATTTCATATGTTTGGAAGCTATACTGTATAATCTATGTGATCTATAAAACCATATTTCCTGGACATTAAAAAAAAAACCCTATTTCTAGTGTTTATATTTATATAGCAACAAAATGTATAATACAAAATAAAAATAATCTTGTCAAGAAATTTAATTTTTATGCTGATTGCACTGAGTGAAAAATCATAAATAATTTCAGTGAATATTTTGAAGGCACAGATTCTGAACAGTTACATACTAAGCATACTACTATATCAGCTGACAACTAAGATGATCTCTTAAAATAAAAGAAAATGGGCCTTGTGATGACATAAGAGTTTTATGAGCTCTATTCTAAAATAATGAAATATACTGTATCTATTTACTAATATTCAAAACTAAATTACAGTATTACCAGTATTAGTACTACTTGACAATTATATAGGCCATGTTAATTTTAAATTTCAATAAACGAATTCCTTATAAAAAAAATTTTTGGTCATCAGAAGAGCATTTATATTTTATTTATAAATAAAAGGTTTGTAAGGTCTTGTTTTAGACACAGTAGTGTTTATGTAGAATGTGCAGATGGGGTGAACTGACAATTTGCTAAGCCCTTCATAAAAAAGTGTCAAAAGTAGAAAGTTTTAGAATGATTTTTAGCATCAAAATATAAGAAAAATTTAATGACTGAGTGTGGTTCAATACCACTGAGAAGCATTGCAAATTTTGTACCAAGTTATTCTGAACTTTGATACGAGTAAACCATTTAAATGCCAAAAACTTTAATGACAAAATTAATCCTCTGGTGTTTTGTACTTGCAACCTCCAGATATTGGGTTGCATACGATGATAAAGATTATACAAAGCAAGAATAAATAATGTAATATTCATCTTATGTCTTTCTCTTCAAGAATAAATGCATGATTCATT